TACCTTCTGGTGCCCCCCCTACCTTCTGGTGTGCCTACCAGTTTTCAAACAGAGCCCTAAGCGCTTTAACCTTTCCTCATAGGGAAAGTGTTCCAACCCTTTTATCATTCGAGTTGCCCTTTTCTGCACTTTTTCCAAAGCTATAATATCCTTTTTAAGGTGTGGTGACCAGAACTGCACACAGTATTCCAAATGAGGTCACACCATTGATTTATATAGGGGCATTATTATATTGGCTGATCTGTTTTCAATACCCTTCCTAATAATCCCCAGCATAGCATTGGCCTTTTTTATTGCAGTCACACATTGTCTCGACATTTTCAGTGAGTTATCTACTACAACTCCAAGATCTCTCTCTTGATCAGTCTCTGTCAGTTCAGACCCCATCAATGTGTATTTATATTTAGAATTTTTGGCTCCAATGTGCATCACCTTGCACTTGGCCACATTGAACCCCATTTGCCATGTTGACGCCCACTCGCCCATCCTTGACACATCCCCTTGGAGTGCCTCACAATCCTCACTGGTTTTCACCACCCTGAACAACTTCGTATCATCCGCAAATTTAGCCACTTCACTGCTTACTCCCAACTCCAAATCATTAATGAACAAGTTAAAAAGCAGTGGACCAAGTACTGATCCCTGCGGTACTCCACTGCTTACCACCCTCCACTGAGAAAATTGCCCATTTATACTCACTCTCTGTTTTCTATTAATTAGCCAGTTTTTCATCCATATCCCATGATTTTTGAGCTTACTTAGGATCCTTTGATGAGGAACTTTATCAAAAGCTTTCTGGAAGTCAAGGTAAACAATATCTATTGGATCCCCCTTGTTCACATGTTTGTTCACCCCCTCAAAGAATACTAACAAGTTAGTGAGACAAGATCTTCCCTTACAGAACCCATGCTGAGTCTGCCTCACCAAGTGAGGAAAGGATGCCAAATTGCGTCGACAACCTTGGCCGGGCGGCAGGCCAAGGGCCAATGGAGCAGAGCAGGGCTTTTGATGGGGGGAAAGGGGGCAGGGCAGCAGGCCATTCCGGCACCCTTCTACACTTTCGCCGTTAGGCAACTGCCTTACCTTGCCTAATGGAAGCGTCGGGCCTGACTACTGCCAAGAAAAGTCTCCCCCAACCTATAATTATGCATTTGATTTCTCCTACCTATATGCAGAACATTACATTTATCTCCATTGAAATTCATTTTATTTGTTTTAGCCCAGTTTATCAGCCTGTTGTCAACCTTGTGCCCGCTTTTCTGGACTTGGTTGCCATAGAGACTAAGGGGAGTGTAAAGAATGTCTACTTTTGCTTTTAGCCTCTTCTATGTTGCTCTTGTTATCTTAGTTGGCCTAAGCAAGTAACCTTGAGCCTCAGCAAAGCCTGGTGTCTTCTTTCCCCTGGGAATGCTGAGCAGTTATTTTGACAGGCCTCATGCTTAGGTGTGATTGGCCCTGGGCCATTAGGGTCCTGCTTGATTTAGGTGCTTCACACACTTTTCCTTAGTTCTAACACAGAACATCTAGAGTCTGGATCCTATCAATGTCTCAATAAACTTTATATTCTTTTGAATGACTGTTGTTGGGAACTGATTTCTCCAGGGGTCTGATACCTGTCAAGATCATCCTGTATCCTGATTCTGTCTTCTACCATATTTGCTACCCCTTCCAATTTAGTATCATCTGCAAATTTAATAAGCATTCCCTCTATCCCTTCATCAAAATCATTAATAAAGATGTTGAACAAAACAGGTCTTAGAACAGATCCTTGAGGCACTCCACTAGTCACTCCTATTCAAGAAGATGAGGAACCATTCACAAGCACTCTTTGGGTGCGATCTGTCAACCAGTTACAGATCCACCTAATAGTCATAGGATCCAAACCACATTTTTCCAATTTGTCAACAAGAATATTATGTGGAACCTTATCAAAAGCCTTACTGCCAGGCACAAGCTCAAATAGAGTTCTCAAACTCTGTTATTTACAAACTATTAGGAGCCTCAAAAGCTCACCACTGAGTATTCTTGTAATCTAAAGTAACTTCTCCATACCTCTGTATATTTGGTGGTGCATTAATGCAAAGCCAGCTGTATCGCAACTATTTATTTAATTAATTTTTTGTAGCTTCTACCCCACTCTACCCTGCAAGTGGGCTCAGAGTGGCTTACAACAGAACGTAAAAACAACAGAACAATTCCGTAAAAGATATCAACATTAAGAATTAATACAAACAGGATTAAAATTTAAATAAATAATTTAAAATAAATGATGGGTGACTCAGCGGTTTGACTCCTCCAATCTGTGCTGAGCTCATACCAGGTGGAGCGGTGGATCCCTCCAATAATATGTTCAGCTGCTCCTCGCGCCAGTTGGTAAAGAAAAGCCAAGGAGCTGATGAAGGCAGGGGAGGCCAATGTTATATGACATCCGCCACCTCAACCGTAGGCCTGGTAGAAAAGCTCCATTTTACAGGCCCTGTGGAATTGCAATAAATCCTGCAGGGGTCTGATCTCAACTGGGAGCATGTTCCACCAGACCGGAGCCAGGACTGAAAAAGCCCTGGCCCTAGTCATGGCAAGGCGGACATCTTTCAGGCCGGGGACCACTAGATGGTGCTGGTCAGAAGAGCACACAAACTCCATGTACCATGGTGCTTGCTTATCATGTACAATGGGTCTAATGCTAGTGTCAAACTAGTAACAGTAGAGAATCCCTTGCAAACTGTATTAAAGGGATGTTCTGATGTTCTGACAGAGACCAAACAGACTTTCTGATAGTAAGGAAACAGGTCAGATTGTAACAAAGTTGTCTCATAACTACCCCTCCTTTAGCTGTATTTATTTATCTGAAGTGAACTTAAGACCATTACCTGGCTAAATACTGGCATAAAATTGACACTGTGGGTTATAAGTATTAAATTATACTGTGCTCCCACCACCAGTTTGTGGCTACTTTGGGGTCCAGAACTTATGCTTCATGTTGAATTGCTGGGGGGGGTTCTTAGAAACACTAGTGAGTAATTTCCAGCTCAGGGTATCCCTGACTTGGAATATATGTATTTATTATTTTGAGAATATCCCATTAAAATTAATAGTATATTTCTTGTTCTGAAGAACCATGCCATATGTAAGTCAATCAATCTATCCATACACACTTTCAAGAGACTCAAAAGGGCTCATCATTTTCCATGATTCAGGACATATCAATCAATAGTTCTGAAATGAAGATAATCAAAATACAAATTTTGATCCCTATGGAAAATGAGGGAAGACTTACAGTGTTCCTTGCTGTTGTTGTTGATCAGTGGGGGAAGCAAGAGATTCAGCTTCTGACAGACTCCCCCCACCCCTGGCCTACATTTTAATGTGCCAAAATGAACTTATTACCTAATGAGAGAGTTGTTAGGTTTCTTCTGGCAGCCAGTGGGGGGATGGGGAGTGGGCTTACTGCGAGCAGGGAGTTTCATCTGACGATTCAGCCACATGCCCACAGAAGTGACGTAGGCACACTGGGGCAACACTCTGATTTTTGGGCAAAAACTCTATAGTAGAATTAACTTCTACCATAAGAGTTTTTTGCCCCAAAACCAGACCATTGCCCCAATATCCCCATGTCACTTCGGGGTCATGTTGAAATCACATAGGCATGTCACTAAAATGTCGGGTGTTCCTCTCTTTTTTTGTGGGGGGGTAAGTCCCCCCCGTTGGCCAGCTGAAAAGCGGTGGAGAGGTGGGGCCTGGCAGTGGGGGAACCCCCCCCCACAAGGGGATGTCTGGCAACCCTAGCTAAAAATCAGACTACTAGAAAAAGGGGGAAATTTAATGAAGCTGTGCATGTACTATGGTCATTCCAACCAGCCTTCGTTCCTCTCTACAGGTAAATCCAACAAATGTTCTTGGCCACCCAAGCAACAAGCAATCACCAGCCTATTCACACTACTGAAAAGTGGAGGGAATCTAATTTTAACTTGGTCATGATCTGATTCCATACTTGGTGATAGGGGGAGCTAAATGTGCTATCCTTTTAATTAATTAATTAATTAATTTATACTTTCAATTTGTACACCGCTCAGCCCCGAAGGGCTCTGAGTGGCTTACATGGTGCATGGTGCAGAGACCTATGCAGAAACCCTAACTATGGCCACAGTACGTCTGGGGTGGGGGGAGCCCTACCAGGTACCCTCCCGGCTCCGATCGTTCGTTTATCCGGCAAGTGGGCGACTTCTTCCAGTTCTCTCCAGTGCATTTTCCGCGGCCTCCGCTGTTCTTTTCGGCTCTCTGGCGACTCCTCTCGGGGGCTGTTGGTTAAAGGCCCTGGTGCGCAGCCGCGGTGGGCGTCACAGTGTCCTTGCGGCTCCAGACATCCTCCTGCTGGCCACGTCATCAGCTGCCGAGCCAACCGCCTCCTTGGGATGCCGCTGCCTCTCTTCATCTCCTCCGTGCTGACCGCCGCCGTGTTGCCGCCGCTTCTTGATACCTCGCTCAGCTGGAGCCCAATTTCGAGGGAGGGGTACCCCCCTGTCATCTTACGGAGAGGTACCCATTTACCTAATTGCCCCGAGGGGCTTTCGGACTGCTGGGTTGGCAGGAGATTTTATATTCTTACATCAGCTGCAAGTGTGAGTTTCACACAAACAATACTGAAGTTGTTGCGTGGGTCAAGTTTGTAACAACTAGGAGAACTTTAAACACCTCATCTGTTCCATTCTAACAAAAACCCATTATAACTATCAAGAATAAATATTTCTAAACTTAAGCAACAGTATCCCTATTCATAAGTTACCTTGAATGTGCATACAATCCATGTACAGTATACATCTGATTTTTCTTCATACATGTGTTGATTAATTCTTATGCTACATTCAAGGCATGTACAACTGACCGTATGATTAAAACCCCACATTGAGCCAGATACTGGTCTCCCCCCGCTTCATTTGTAAAGTGAATGCATGTTGGCTCTTTCTGACAAACAGCTGTACACATATACATCTAAGCTGTACATCCACTCACTGTGGCATGTGAATAGGGCAGTGTCACTTCTAAATCTCACTGAAACAAAATGGAGTCAGCAAATATACTTGTCTAATCTCAAAAATGTTCTCTTAATTTAGCAAAAATTAACTAGTAATCTAGGAGGCAATTTTGCAGTTGCCATTGAGTAAAAATAAAACATCAGAGGAATTGAGAGAAGACGAGATTGGATTTATACCCCGTCCTTCACTACCCAAAGGAGTCTCAGAGTGGATTATAATCTCCTTTCCCTTCCCCTCCCCACAACAGACACCCTGTGAGGCAGGTGGGTCTGAGAGAGCTCTTTTGAGGCCTGCTTGTGAGAGAATAAGCTCTGAAAGAACTTGTAACTGACCCAAGGTCACACCAGCAGCTGCACGTGGAGGAGTGGGGAATCAAACCTGGTTCTCCCACGCTCCTAACCACAGCCCTAGAGGTCAGAAGTCTAATTCCCTTTGGAATTGGAGACATGATCAAGTTAAAACATTTCTGCTACAGGTATGTTCAGCTGGAGCTCTTCTATGGAACACAATCTATATGCATTTTCAGAAGTAATTGTGCTACATATTAATTGGGATATGCTTTGCCTTGTAACTGTATGAATCACTGGCTGGTGGCTGTATGTATTCACCTTTGGCTTAATTCTGAGTAAACTCCAATATGTTATTTGCTCAATGCAAAACTATCTTTGTTTTCCCAGGTATGTAATTAAAAAAAGAGCACGTGATATTACATTTTCATATAAGTTGCAGTCATGTCCAATACCCCACTGGGGAGGGCAGTGGAAGGAACAAAAGGGGACAGGGCTCTGTGAGGGCTGCTGTGCCTTCTTACCTGTATATGTTGCCTGCATCTTCTCCATGACATTGACTGTTCAGTGCTGGTTGCACCTGGGGATACACACACACACAAAACAGCTGTCCAGTGAGAACACTGTATCCTTACAGAACCATTTGTACAGATGCTGCTATCCAGTGATATATCTAATTCTGAGCAATGGTGTCATAATGTGGATCAAAAAATCCTCAAAATAGGGCCATGTTCTGATAGGTGGGATATTTCTGCAAACCTGGGGGGAAACCCCAAGTTTGCCAAAAAAATCTAAAAATGGGGGGCTCTAACGAAAGTCAGACACTATTTTTGCTTTCTTGTTTAAAAGGTTGCTTGAAATTCTTTGGTTCAGGCTTCGAGCCTGGTAAGGCACTAAACTGCCTCACAGAGTGTGCTTATGAGAAGCTAAGAGGTGCATGGAATTTTCCCTAGAGACAGAGATAAGGAGACGCTCAGTGTCCTTGAGGGTTCACAGCTGCCTGTGCTCTTCAGTACCGGCCCGTGAGCAATTAGCCAATTAGTGCATTCCAGAATACTTAGCACCTGTGTGCAGGGAGTAACGAACCTTTACAGTTGTATTTAGGTTTCGATTCTCTCAGCTCACAAATAAGTATTATGGACTATCATTGTCATCCTGGTTACGAGCGAAGTTGACATCACTTTGCAGGTCTGTGAGTGGTCAAAGGCCTAGGCTGCTCAGAGACCTCAATTCCTATAAAGTAAGCCTTTAGTCAGTGACTATTAGGATTGCTGGGGTGTTGGGCCTGGTCTGGTCAATACTCCGAAGCAACCCCACTATTGGCATCATGCGTTGATAACACCCGGATGGGCTATTTGTTTGGACTATCTTTGTCATCTTGGACTCTTGTACTTTTGAACCTGAAACGGGTAACCTTTGCAACTGCTTGTAGTATTAGCTATGCTGGTGAAGCTCAGTGTTTGTTATTTTTCCTTCACTGCCTAAAGTCTTGTGTTTTACTTAAACTTGCACAATTACTTAATAAAGAATTTTTATTTTTACTTTGTCTTGGTTTTGGACTTCTTGGACCTCAAAGGCTAAATCTATTGCTTGGACCGTAAGCTGTTACTACTACCAACCTTTTGTCTTAGCTCAGTCTGTATTTTACTCTGCAAGACTGACCTTTGTGTTAAGTTCTCTACAGCCTTGAGACTTTGGTCATTTTCCTCCAGACCTGTTGGGAACTGGTGGCAGAACTACCTTTGTAATCTGGAGGGATTAATTAGAATTCCTTCAGTATTTTTGTAAAAGTGCTTTGTTATCTGTTCTTTGAACCACGACTCTGTACCTGGAGGGGTCAGCGTCCGTGACAGGGGCAGAGGAGAATGGGACAGGGATTTAAACATTCCAAACGGAAGGAGAAAAAAGAAATAGCTTGTGACTGTATGATTGCAGCTGCTATTTTGGGAGATAACAAGCAACCCCTAAGCAATGCTCCCTCTAAGCTGTGGAGTCTTGTGAGCAAAAATTCTACTTTGTGAGCTACTGGCATTAAAACTGTGAGCCAGCCATTTGGCCACTGCATAACTTAGTCTGCTCTGGAGCCCTCCTTCCTGAACTAAGACAAAAATGTGTGAGCCAGAGGCTAAAAACCTGTGAGCTAGTTCACACTAACTCAGCTTAGAGGGAACATAAGATATTTGGCAGTGTGGGCAGGGGAGACTGCTGGAACAGAAAAAACAAAGGTGGCCAAAGGCAGTGGGTGGCTACCACCCCATCCCCCCTTTCCCAAGCCCCTCTCCCACTACCACCACCTCCTGCTGCTGCTGCTCATGGCTAAGCGGGGAAGAAGAGAGTGGCCACAGAAGTTGGGCAATGAGCAACAGAACTGTCTGGCTCCGTTCCTCTCTTCATTCTCTGCCCCCTGCTTCCCACCACTTCCTCCTTTCGGCTGCCAGGAGTAAAAGAAGACGGTGGCCAGAGATGGCAGCTTGTCCCAACCCAAACATTGCCAGCAATCAGTGCCCACCTCTGCTAGGTACTTCCCTCCTGGCAGCAGTAGACAAATGTCTTGCAGGTCTCTGCTTATATTTCTGATGATCCTGCATGAGTAAATTCATTTTCTTTAAAAGGTGAACTGCCCCATGAGGGTTAGCTGTTCCTCTGTAGCTCTTGAGCAGCCCTCACTTGTGTTGCGATTCCGTTCCTTCTGGAGTAAAGGGAGGTACCTTAGATGCCCACAGTTTTTCACAGCAGCCCCATATTCTCCCCTCTTCTGCCTCCTTCAGTGGACAAGTGTTCAGATACACTCCGCAGCAAAGAGGAGAAAAAGGTGGACAGCTGTACTGTTGCAACATGGGATTAGGGTAATCATGACGTGCCCTTTGCTGTGTAACAGTCTCTGATTTGAGAGGCCTGATATAAGTTAAGAGATATGCAATGTAAGGAGAAGTCTTCTACTGGGTGGGAACAGTGGCACTGTATTGCTCATGTAGCCCTGTACTGCTGAGTAGCTCCCTGGGGTCTCAGACAGAATCTTTTCCAGTCCGTCACTGGAATGCCCAGCCTCTGGGTGAGGCCTGGAAATCTCCTGGGATCACAATGGGTCTCCAGACGACACAGACGGGTTCCTCTGGAGAACAGGGCTACTGCGGATGGTGGACTCCGTGCTATTCTATCCAAATGAGGCCCCTCCCCTTCCTAACCCCCCCTTCCCAGGCTCCACCCCCAAATCTCCATGAACCTCCCAGCCTGGAGTTGGCAGCCCTAGTTCACCTACTCAGTTACAGTTCTACAAACTATTGTTTAAAAGTCCACTGCTCTGTGCGGTCCTCACACAGATCTTTTCCAACTTAATCCTACAATAGACCTTTTCATTCTTCTGCTACGTTTTGCTTTTCATCACTTCTTAGGATAAACATTATAAAGCACTAATGAAAAATGTAATCATTATAGACTGCAGTAGATGATCGAGCAAAATAAATTTGCTGCAGGGGACAAGTTTCATCTTCAGAAACCTCAGCCTTCCATAACATGGAACCTGTACTTCTTGCTAAGGAGGAAGTTAAAGGATAATACCTTTTTGGTTTCTGGGGTAATCAGTTTCTTGTTCTGCTCAACATGGGTCTGTGATACCGTTGATGCTCGTTTATCCTTGTTGTCATGTTCCAGAAGAAAGCAAACCTTTGGGGGGGTTGCGTCAACTTCACTCAAACTCTCCGAGGTTAGTTCCAATTCTGCCAACAAAGCATCTGAACAAAGCCAATATATATTGTGAATTCCGTGTTTTGTGAATTCTGTCTATTCCCCTTTTGTTTTCTGCATCTCCCATCTGACTACAAGTACAATACAATACAAAAAGCCTTTATTGGCATATATCAAGTTATCCATACAGACAGTAAGCAAATATAGAGGATCATTTAAATATAAGCAGTTGAACAATTTTCAATCAGTCCTTGTTTACCAAACTTAAAAATTGGGCTACTTTTTCAGTTATTTCAGGTAATGAGTCATCAAGAAGACGATACATCAGCAGGGCGTCTGAATGGCCCAAAAGATTGAATAAAATTGAGTCTAAAAGATTAGAACGTACAAGAAGGAGAACCCGTGATACTCACGGGGGGGAGCTCCATGCGGAGGAGGAGGAGGAGGAAGCAGCCACAGGTAAGCCTCCCCCCCTTCCCCCAGCACCAATGGTGAGGCCCAAGCTGGGACCCCTCCCGGACTAACCGGGAGACCTCCCGGACGGGGCTGGAGACCTCCCGGAATGCCCGGGAGGGGCTGGTTTTTGGGTGGGCAGAATGTCAGCTATGCCACCATGATGTTTATGGGTGAGAGTGCAGCTGCTTGACCTGTGTACCAACTGATGCCGCATTCCTTTGTCCTCCTTATCTATGACCGTGCTAGCTAGCTGTCTATGTAGCATCTCCCCATGTATTATCCGTGGGATCGGTTTCGATTCCCAGCTTTGGCTATAACGGCCTGGGGCCCCATTTCCCCTGCGCAGGAGTCAGGCCGATTGGCCTATGAGTGTGTGCGGGGTGTGTGCGTACGAATGCCCCACATCCCTTTATGTAGGAAAGTAGCCATTCCTAACAGTACTGATGTTACTGCCTCTATAGCTCTTACATTAAAGTATAACCTTATGACAAGCATGTACTTCTTTGTTTGGCTGTGCATCCTGACAACCAGTTAACCTCAATAGTCCGCAGGCACCATGGTGCCCACTAGCACCACGTTAGGGACCCCTGCACTACAACATAAAAAACAGAGAGCCTAAAAGCAACTCACAGATTTTTTCCAGGTGGCCCCCAGACTCAGACTCTACCAATGCTATCCTAAGCAGATTTACACCCACATAATTTCATATATTGAAGTCAATGGGTTTGGAAAGGCATAACTCTCCTTAGTATGGCATTATACTTTTGCTCCCATCCTGAAGGCTAAGGGCAGGCTGTTACATTGCTTCTGGGAACAGTTTAGTTGCAAGTTGTACTATTAATAATATTTTTAAATAATTGAATAGGACAAAAGTTTAATAATTATAGTCTCTCTGCTTGACATCTTTCTTGCACTGATCAACATATAATTGTTGCAATAATGTCAGAAAAGCCTTGCTGGATCAGAGCAGCAATCCATCTAGTCTAGCATCCTGTCTAGTGGCCAAACAGTTACTCCAGAGGGCCAACAACAGGACACGGAGTCTAGCGTTGGTGCCCAGCAGGATTCTGGGGAGAAGGGAACATGCCCGGGGGGGGGGGGTTTGCCATGGCCTACGGCACAACATCATTTCCAGACCAAGAAGTGACATCATGCCAGTCTAGGATTCAGCTGACATTTCCCCCCCCCCCCCGGGTTTGGCCTAGAAATACTGCCCTGCTAGGCTTACCAGGCCTCCTGCTATGGCTGCTAAGGCAGGAGGCTTCCCATAAGCAATCCCTGTTGCCTTCTGCCACTGAGCAGCAGTGGAACAAAAATAAAATAAAAACCAGATGATGTTGCTATATCACTTTTGGGTAAAACCTGTTAGTGACATCGGGTAGCTCTAGGAATCGCTGGAAATTCTATGGCTTTACCTGGAAGTGATGCAGTGACATCAGCAACATCACATGCATGCCCCCTTGTCTCCACCCCCAGCCCTCCCTCCACCCCCAGCCTGCATCACACTATTGCTGCAATGGTTTTTTTGCTTCATTTTCTTCAAAAACAGCCCCCCAGCCCTACAGAGTGGAAGCAAGATTTGGGGGTTGCAAGACCTGGCAACCCTAATGTAAAGATCAAGGTTTTCTGCGATATTCCCTCCTGACACTTGTATTCAGGGGCTTACCGTCTCTGAATGTGGAGGTTTCCTTTAGTCACAAAGGCGTTCTTCTACTCTGTCCAATGTTAGTATATCTTCTTTCCAGAGACTAACCTGTGTTAATTGTGACTCCTCCCAAAGAAAAGCAAGCCATCTTAGCCTATTTTTTTCATCAGGCACCTAAACTGCTATGTCAGTAGCCTTTAAAAATCTCTTCCTAATGACAGCTTTTTCCAGTGGCCTGGACAAAGTCTCCTGCCACAAGCTTTGTGAGTGTGTTTCTGCTGATCCTTTCCATTTTGAGAGACGTGGTTAAGATACCTTGTGGCTTTTTCTCATTGCAAAACAGAGGTGTGGAGTGAGTCATACAAGAGAGAATGCACACTCACACCCACATTTTTATATACTGTAATCCAGTTCCTGTCAGCAAAACCACCTCATTTACATTTTTCAAGTCTTCCAGATTACGCACAACCCACAAATTCACCCTAATTTGTCAGCAACAGTTGTCTTGTACTGAAGTTTGTCTGCTCCGCCCAAACCACACATTGTTTCTGGAGTGACCGGATAGAGGATAAAGGTACAAATCTTCCTTCAGTTGGCTTTGTGGAAGTTTTCTGCCTTCAGCTTTGCATCTCATGTTCCACACGATATTTCTCTACTGGACTCTCTCATTCCCTCTCCCCCAACATTTAAGGTTCTGCTGCAACATATCACTATGGGGAAGGGTTGTCAACTCCAGGCTGGGAGATTCTTTGAGATTTGGGATTGGAGCCTGGGGACGGAGGGGCTTAGGGAGGGGACATAGCCCACCCTCCAAAGTAGCCATTTTCTTCAGGGGAAGTTTGGAGATCAGTAGTAACCCTGAGAAATCACCAAGCCCCACCTGGAGACTGGCAACTGTACCATGGAGGTATGGTGCTGTCAGCCAGGCCTTTGTGCTACCCTGGCTGCCATGAGAGTGGGGGGTGGGGTAACTATGGAATGTTTACTTTCATTTCTGCTTTCTCTTGTTTTGGTTATCTCTCCCTGTAAGCCGAGCCATATAGCCTTGAGTGCCTGGTGTCTTCTTTCTCTTGAGAAAGCTGGCCCGTTAGCTTGGCGGGCTCCTACCTGTCGTCTGATTGTCCCTGAGCCATTTTGGTCCCCCTTGAATTCTGTATATCTATTAGCTTCGCGCGCTTTATCCTCAGTTCTAACACGAAACAGTTAAGATACCTGAATGCCATAAAGATCTCAATAAACTTTAATTCTTATGAATGACTGCTGTTGAGAACTAATTGACTCAGGAGTCTGACAGGTGCAAGGGTTTACTGGTGGTTGTCACTACCTATTTGGGAGGAGAATAGGCTTCTTGCTGCTTAATCTGCTTTGGAAACCGGTGAGCAAGGAGATACTTCCGGTGGGGCAGCGTCCTGCACAGACGCTGTTCGCGGAGCTTCAAGGCATTAAGGTTTTTTTCTTATCTTTTGGATTTGATTTGTCTCATGGAGTTACTCCCTAAGTTAGACTAGTGTATTAGGTTAGCCCTGTAGCCTTGTAGTTCAGATAGTTTGTTTTGTTTATAGATAAGACTTAAAGAGTCTTAAAGACCTAAAGACTGTGTGCTGTCTTACTGCTACCAAAATGACTAAGAAAAGAAATAGAAATGACTTGAACTCTGGCTCTCTGGTAACATCTTACAGTAAATCCTCAAAGCAGCTTCGCATAGATGATTTTTAAAAGACACTCTGTGGGAGGGGATTCCTCCTTTGGAAAACAGGCTCCGTGTATTGGAGCCCTCAGACCTGAATCCCTCTAGTTCCCTGCAATTTCCACTCCTGAATAATGAGGTTTTTGCTGAGAGTGTGAGAGAGACTGCTACTTCCCACCAGGAACCTACTTTGAACTCAAGTCCTTTAAACTCTACAGCATTAAGAGAAAACAGAGAAACCTCAAAAGCAGACTTAACCAAATTGATTAGTGATCAGTGTCTTCTAATGGCTGAAACAGTCATAGCCATCTTCCAGCAACTAAACAAAATATCAGCCAACCTGTCTAGTCTAGAAAATCTACTTAAGAGAAATTTAGGAGGCATGCCACATCTAGCAGTGCCAGAACACTCACCCAAAGGAGAGGTTGGTTCTAAGCTACTGCCAAGGAGAGACTTTGATGCTGCTTCTTGCCATCCTTCAACTCTAAATGATGAAGTTGTAGACCAGTCCTCCTCTAAGAATTTTCTGATATGGAAAGTTCTCAGGTTGCCCTGGAAATTGCTCAAATTGCAGTAAATGCAGGCCGCTGGGGCAGTAGACAAGAAGTGATTTTCTCATTATGCTGTCTATTGAAGTTGGAGGCTGATGAGGTTGATTTAGAACAAATTGAAAGACTTCCTAATCGTCCCTCAAGCAGAAGTAGAAGACTGGTCCTGCTATTTCGGCAACCCACTATCCCACGAATGCTGCTTAAGATGAGAGGCTTCTTAGGTACATTTGGCATTTGTCCAACTAGAGTATTCCAGGACACAAGGAAGAGCCCTCTCCTCTCGTGTGGCGGTGGCTGTGTTCCATTTGATAGGGGCTCGCAGGAAGGCCAGAGGCAGCAGCATATGGATAAAACTATGGTGCCCTCTATGGATAGCACTTTAGGTCAATGTTTAAAAGAAATTCTGAATTCAGGTAGTCTAATGAACTCCTGTCAAGCACTAGGGCATTCAATGCCAATTCAAAACCCCATAGAAGTTTATGAAAATCTCACCCATTCGAATCCCATATCCATTTATGAAAATTTTATACAAAAGCTAAATCCATATCTCGTTCATCCATATAATGAAAGGTTCCAGAAATCCTATAACTGCTCCAAACCATGGTTTAATCATAGATGTGTAACAGCAAAAAAAAAATCTAAAATGGAGGTACCAGCAATATTGGACATCAGAAGATCAGGCTAAAGGAGAAGCCCTAACAAATCTGCTGTCACAAAAGACAGACTATAAACTGCTGATACAAAGTTGCAAGAAAGAATACAATAGAGAACTATGGGGAAAACTGATTATAGCAGTAAAAGATAAAAACCCTTCCCTTTTCTGGAAATTAATTACAGGCAGACTTTTGGGACCCAAATCTTTAATATCCTCTTGTATACCATCAGATAAATGGGTTTCTTTTTTTTACAGAATTGTACAAGGATGCTTCTCAATCTTCCCCTCAAATAGCATTAGAAAATACCCTCAAATGGCCTCCTGTAACCCCAGGTGAGATTAAATCCCACATAAACCAACTAAATAATGCTAAAGCCCCTGGTTACGATGGTATCCCACCTGAATTTGTGAAAGAAAATAAGGAGTTGTGGGCCTCTTTTTTGGCCCTCCTTTTTACATATATCGATGATACAGGCCATATGCCAAATTCATGGGGAATGGCCATAGTGGTCCCGTTTTATAAAAAAGGTAACAGAGGGTAGGATCCATCAAATTATAGGCCAATCTGCTGAATATCATAAGTAAGATATATGTTAGGCATCTCTTGAACAAACGTTTGGACTGGTTTGAACAAGAAAACATTTTAGCAGCAGAACAGGGAGCAGGGAGATGTACAATAGATCAATGCTTAATTATCCAACACCTTATTGAGAAATACTCATCTAAGGGAATAATTTCACTTTACGCAGCCTTTGTTGATTTCAAATCTGCATTTGATTCCGTATCCAGAATGCGACTTTGGGACAAATTATCAGATTCAACTATTGATAGAAGACTCCTATATCTTATACGGGCATTACATGAACAAACTTATCTGAGAGTCTGATGCAGCAGACAAGGATATCTTACTGAACCCATTCAGACCTTCAGATGTGTCAGGCAAGGCTGCTTGTTAGACCCGGCACTGGTTATTTTTTACATAAACAATCTATCTAGCTGGCTTAACACTCCAGAACTCCATCCCCCTAGACTTGCCAATAGGACAGTACCAGCGTTATTATATGCTGATGACACAGTGCTACACTCCAGAAGCCCTGTAGGATTGAGGAGGGCTCTTGGGAAGCTCTCCTCATACTGTGAAACAGAATCTCTTACAATCAACTACCAGAAAACCAAGATAGTTGCTTTTGGGCATAGACCAAAAATTTGGTCCTGGTCGAGCAAGTTAATAACTTTAAATATCTTGGGGTAGTTCTGCAGGCCACGGATTCTAGACTTCAACATAGTAAGTATGCTGTGGAACAAGGAGAAAGATCTGCAAATAGTATTGCAAAATTCCATTACTCTCAAGGGGGGTTATATATTCCCACAGCCCTTAAATTATATAAACTCAAGATGCTAGCCCAACTGTTATATGGGTCATTTATGGGGCCACCAAGTTCCTATTTTGCACCTCTAGAAAGAGGTCAGTCTAAGTTCTTACAGGTCCCTAGATGTGTGTCAAATGCCAGGGTAAGACTGGAGACAGGCTGTTTAAAAGTTGAAGCCTGGGTCTGTATTCTATCAATACATACCTGGCTAAAGGGGTATCACAATCCACAAGGTTTACTCCCTCTGATACTCTGCGACAATTTCCAATCAAATTGGTCTAAGTCTGTTCAGAGCTATCTGCTGAAAATAGCCCCCCCTCCCCCGGTGCTCTTATCTTTTGGAACAGACCAAGCAAAAATATTAGTTAAGCAGAGAATTGAGGATATAGAACGCCAAATTGATCTTTCCAGCATACAAAACATTAAGATGAGGGCAATTATCAGAAATACTGTGGGTCCAGCCAACTATTTAACATCTCTTGCAGTCAAAGGGTCTAGAAGAGCCTTCACTCTGGCAAGGTGCTCTGCCCTCCCTTCTGCTGTACTTGAAGGAAAACACAAGAAGGACACTCCTTTTTCAGCAAGGCTTTGTACCTCCCCATTAAGGGAGGTTGAGACTACAGAGCAAATGTTTTTAAGATGTCTATATTATAAGGTGGTGCGTAATAAAATCACTCCACTGACTGAACGAATTCCGGGTCTTTCCGAAAAAGCTAGACTCGAGTTTCTTCTATCTGATAGAAACCCCAAAATTACCCACCAAGTAGCCAGTTTCTGTATGGTGATACTCAGATCACGGAAATTCTAAGGTAGCTAGTTAGATATAGTTGTTTGATATTAGATTAAATTTTAATTTGCTTTTAATGTGTCACTGATGTATCTTGAAATATTGTAAAGGTGTACTTCTTTTTCTATGACTGGTCTAAGGACTGTAGAAATGTAGAAATAAATTGAAATTGAATTGGGAGGAGAATATCTTCCAACTTGGCAGGCTGGTAGCCACAAGTCTGCAGTCTTGTCTGGGCTGGGGAAGGGAGCAGGGTGTTTGCACCAACTCCTGCCTAGTCCTATGGAAGGCCTGCTTGAAGTTCAGAGATCTGCTGCGGTTGCTATTTTTGCCTTTGGAGCCTAATCAGAAAACAAGGTGGCCTTCCCCATTTGACTGGGCAAGAATTTACACAAGCTTCCTTCTCCCTCCCAATTTAAAACATCCTTGCCCAACACGCACTGCATGCATTACTGCAGCTTATCAGTGCCTCCAAATGGGGGGGGGACCTTCCTCCTGTAAATCAAGTGATATACCCTCCCTCCCAGTCAAACCTCACTGACCCCCCCCACACACACACACACACTCCTGTGCCAGGACCAACCTGGGAGCTTTATGCTGAACACGGTTATGAACGCCCCCCCCCCCAAGGTCTGTAGTTTTAATAGGTGTTCCTCTAACATGTGGAAATAGGCAACTGAAGCTTTTCATGGCATGGAGCTAAATGACATCACCAGCAGATAACTGCGGCAGATCAAACTGATATTGAAAGAGAAATTGTGTAATATTTCCCGTATTTATTCAGCTACATCTAGAACATTCCAGAATTTTATCTAACAATTAAAACCCTTGTTCTGTTCTAAAACTTATCCCTATCCAGTTTGTACTCATGACTTCTAGGACCCACCATCCTATTTAAATAGTTTTCCTCTTTCTGCTCATTACCTATTGTTGCATTTATAACATATACCCTCTTAACCAACTACTTGCAAATGAATAAAAAACTTGTATTCATAAGTTTTCCATCTCTGCAATTCATTTACTTGTGCTGTTTGTATCCATGCTAGTAATCCAAGCACAGGTGACCAAAACAAAGCTGCCACCTTCCTCCCAACAAAGTCTGCATGTCTGGCAGGAATTCAACACACATTTTTGCCCTATTATAGGAGAAAGCTGCACTAGTTAAGTGCCAGTTGTTTATGCAGCTGTTAAAAGGTACAGCCCCTCTTTCAGGAAACAGTGTCAATAATCCTACAATAAGATGCTTAGTATTTCTCCCTCCCACCCAGCAGCCTGACAAAGCTGAGTACATCAGCTCTATGCTTTCACTTCTTGCTGTTTTCCCATGGTTGAAAAGTTACTTACCTAACTCATCCATTGCCTACTGATGATAGGATCCTCTCTCTAGGAGCTCCTTGAGACAGTGGGATTCAGACTTGCTTGATGGCGGAACCAAAGGGGAAAGAAGCAAAATGGTGAGTGACTCCGTGGTTTAGGCAGACTTATTCAGTTCCTCTCGAGCTGTACTTCCTCTTTTTCTAGGCTGAAAGTTTCTTTGTCTTAGCAAATCACATTTCGAGCAGCTCAAAAAAGTATACAGATTGTTGAACAGGAAGAGATGGTGGCCTGGTCTTATCAGAAATATGCAGATCTCATGTGATGGTTGTGCCATCTTTCTTGCAGCTGGGGCACCTACCCTGCTGTTATCAAGCAGGGGGATTTTACTGACAGATGGCAAGATGTTCTCTGGATTCCTTTTTCCTGGGAAAAAGTTAATCACGGGGATTGCCACTTGACAAATGTGGGGGGGGGGGCAGAAGCAACAGTTACATATGGGTATGCTTAATCTCTCTCACACGTGTACACTACTCAGGTTGTTGAAAAGACACAGGGACAGGTTACATTTAGTGGTAGCTACGAAGCAATGATGTTTAGGAAATGAGTTTCAACAACTTTCCATTCTTTTCTGTTACAAAGTTGAACTCATATTGAATGCAACCCAGCATTTAAAATGCTTCTGCCTCTTCAAGTAATTTTTGGCAGTATTCCAGGAAGCAGCATGAGGTTAAAGCCAGAAAACAGTAGCAGGGCCGTTTCCACAGGGCGGATGGGGCAGGGGTGGGAAGAGCCACCCTGCGGTGGAAGCAGCAGCAGCAGCAGCAGCAGCAGCAGCAGCAGCAGCAGCAGCAGCAGCAAGCCGGGTGGGGGCAGACAGGGGCAGGGTCCACTTGTCCTTCCTTCCCTGCTTGTCGCTGTCCTCGCCCCACCATTGCATCAGCACAGAAGAGCTGATAAAACATGACTCTTATCTTGCCAGTTCCAACTTCTCCCACTATGAACTTAATAAAGAGCCTGTTAGAGGGCGGGAGGGAATTTAGCTCTGTCACTTTGAAGGTGGGGCTTAGCTCCGTCTCTCCCTCCCTCCTCCCTGGATTGGCTGCAGGCAAAGCTTTCAGATAAACCTGTGTCCACTATCACCCTGCAATTTCTTCTTTAGGCTGGAGAAAAGGAGGTTCTTGCTTTGCACTGGCTTAAAGAGGAAAGCTCAGGAACCCCAGCATCATGCTTGGAAACAGCACACCCTCTTGCGAAAGCTCCCCCCAAAAATTCCACCTGGAGAAATATGGAAGTGTGCAGGGTCAAAGAAACTGTTCAGGGACAGCAGCAAAAGCCCAAGATGATGCCACAGGAGCAGCTTCGCAGCTCGCCATGATGCCCCAAAACACCAGGAAGGCCAGGGATCAGCAGAAGAGGCAGGAGGCAACAATGGTAGCTGTTCCTGTCCGGCACTCAGCTCTGTCTAAGAGCTGAACGCTTCCTAGGATGTGATCAACGCACAGCCAAACTGAAAAGACTTAATTAATATTAATTAATTACGGTGTCGTCTTGAGCGGCCATTGCGGACTCCAAAGCAGATTGTGTTCATTGTGAAGTCTTAAGTTCTCCAAAGCCTTGATATCCGATATTACTAAATGTTAAAAGACTGCAATGGAAGGGACGGCTATGTTTGGTACAAGCTGAGATTTAGGCTTAAACAAGGGGCGGACCCGCGATACTCGCGGGGGGGAGGCAGAGGAGGAAGCAGCAGGAGGAGGTAAGTACCCCCCCATCCTGCTGGTTCCCCCCTCTCCTCCAACCCCCTTGCCTTCCCCCCCTTGCCTCCCCCCCCCCCCCCTCCCCCCCTGAAAAAACCATCCCGGCACCGAAGCGAGGGCTGAGCAGCTTTCCTCTCAGCCCTCTCTACTCTTCCCCCCCATTCAGTCACCTAAGTGAGGGCTGCTCGCCCCTCGCTGCTTTCTCCCCCACCCCCATCCCGGCACCTAAGC